GCAAATGAAGCCCGGGATTTGAATTTCCCGGGCTTCATTTGCATAAGCCGGGCGCCGCCATTTTTAAATCCCGGCTAGTCCGAACCCCGTGCCGCGCGGCTCCACGCGGCACGGAGTAGCTAGTTTGGATTAGGCTTCTAATCCGAACTAGCTGTACTCCTTGTGGAACGAGGAGTACAGCTAGTTCGGATTAGGAAGCCTAATCTGAACTAGTTACTCCGTGCCGCGTGTAGCCGCGCGGCATGGGGTTCGAACTAGCTGGGATTTAAAAATGGCGGTGCCCGGCTTATGCAAATGAAGCCCAGGAAATTAAAATCCCGGGCTTCATTTGCAAGTGCGGTATGTCTACATTACCCCGCTAGTTCGAACTAGCGGGGTAGTGTAGACATACCCTAACAGATTTATTTGGGCATCAGCTTTTGTAGGTAAAAACTACTCTGTCAGATGCATGATTACACAGGACTTCTTGTTGTTTTTGCAAATACAGACTAACATGGCTACCTTTCTGAGAGTTAATAAATAATATTTCTCCTTGGGCTTTAGCTACAGAAACTGTTTCCAGTCCATTACCAGATATCTTAATTCAAATTTTCACAAATTCAACATATTGAAGAAGGGGATGATACTGTCCCTTAGTAGGAAAGATTGCCAAATGCAAAGCGATTACAAAAAATTTTATTTTCTCCAGTGGAGAAATGCTGAGAAGGAGAAGAATTAGTCATTTCTTCCAAGAAGGAACTTAGACTAAGATCTTAGGTTGAGTTTCTTCCTGAATGGTTTAGCTAGATCCCGAGGAGAGACATGTATTTCCCAGAGCATGGTATGCAGAATTTGGAGGGACAGAAAGCTTCCTTTGGATCCCCTGTCACACAACCTCCTCTATGCACCTCTCACACCCTGAAGCACTGCACTTCCTACCTCTCTCCTCCCTCCTAGCACTTTTGGAGTGCTGCAGATCTGCTACTTTATGCTCCATCCCTACTCCTTTCCCTCTTTCCCAGAGCTTGAACAGCCACGAACTGCTGATTCATAGCATTCCAACTCTGTGAAGAAGGGGGAGGAGCAGGGATGGAGCATGCATCAGTCAATTTGTGGTGCTCCGAAACTGCTGGGAGGGAGTAGGGAGTGAGGGGCTCC